AGCAGGGAGGACGACGAAAGCTCCGCCGCAACTAAACCAACCAGCTCAGAGAACACTAATAATTGCAGATATATGCATAAGTTTAATCCCATACTGAATGACAAAGTGTAATTGGATACAGTGAATTTAGGCGCTTAAGCGGAAGCCCAATGGGAAATGATGAATTGGGGTGACTTGAAGAAGATCATGTGAGGAAATTATGGAAGGTTATGGTGAATCATGCAGGATGAAGTTAAGACGTGCCATCGAAACCCTATGTACGACTTGGATCCTAAGAGAATAATAATAATGTATAGGTTCAGTGAACTTACATCTGTAAGACACCAGATTTATATCTATGAATCTGTCACAATGAAAAAAAACTGAAATCCACTAAACTTTTAGAACATGACTTGAAAGAGGTGGAATCGATTAATTGGTCTACTCTTCTACACTATAAGATTAAAATGAGTGGCTCTTTTATGGCGACAGATAAATCATTTATTATTTGTTCAATCATTTCAGCCACTGGTTCAACCAAATAAGTCCATCAATGTAATTCACCTGTATATATGGAGAGGAACATGATGGTTATAACAAACTACTACTATTACTGTTCCCTTGGTCTCTGAGCGGAACACAAGGCTTCATTTTGATGTATTCTCTGAGGTCCCCTTTAACTGGTTCCACGATTGTCCAAAGGCTTTTATTCTCTCTTCACACAGTCCTCTACATGTCACACACATGTGAAACACGTCCAACTCGTTGTTCAACATTGAAGTTCCAAGTTCCAGCCTGGCATGTGATGTCTCTCAATGGTCTCCTCAGTAATATCAAATGATGAGTGTAGGCTAAAGTCTAGACCTCATTGAAGTAAACATAAATTTCATGAACGACATCTTTCTTTAACGATTTGCACATAATTGTGAAATGATATTATTTACAGCTGGTAACATACTATTTTATGATGACTAAACTTTCAGAAAGCTAAAATGATAAGTTCCAAGAAGTTGGATACAATACAGAAAGCTTATATGTTGACGCTAATATTGAAGTAAACTGGTATATGAAAGAAGTAGAACATTATACAGGTGGGCAGATTAAGAAATCGTATTAACAGCCTGATTTAATAATAATAATAATAATAGTCATTATGGGTGCTAAATTGTTCTTCAAACCCCAGTCAATTAATAAAACCCTATCAGTGTTGTCTTGTGTTTCGCAAATTTCACTCTGACCTTCAATTCTCTGAAATAAACCTTCAGAATGTACTAAAAAAGACTACCAACAGTAATACATGTTAAACTCATCACCTATTTTTCCAACGAGTGAGTTACCATCATAGATACCCATTGAGACATGAAAAAAAATAATAAAAGACAATTCAGCGAGGAAAATTTTCTTTATCGACGAAATCATCTTCAGAGGCTGTACAGTCGTATTTATTTATATTTACCAAAAATGTATAGTAATCTATTATCGAGTAATACGGGGGTGAGTAATAGGGTTAGCTCAATTCTCGAGTGTTAGGTGAATTCAAGCCAAGTAGCTCCGCCAGAAACGTCTTTCAACATTGTCTACAAGGTGAGGCCAAATGGTATACAAGGCGTCAGGTTTCGGCATTTTTGCATGGCGGAAGCGTTGACGATTCGTCAATATAACTCCGAACTCTGTATACACAAAACGTTTGTCCAGTCTCTTATTCGATCATGGTCTTAACCTCGTCACTAGTCATTCCCAATAAAAAAATTTCATTTTTTAAAATTTAACTTTTAGTTTGCTTCGACTTTAGTTAATTAATTCACTATTATTATCACTCTCATATGTTCCTTTCATGCATTTTCCCATACTCTTCAAATTTCTCAAATCGACACTTAACTACCTTTCTACTCACTCAATAACAATTTTAATCTTCACAAATTTCTAACGCTTTATTCCTTTTTACGGTGTTGAGTACTACATAATTTAAATCTTTTACTTTTTTTATTTTCTAAGCCACTTCTATGTAGTTATATCGATTATATCACCCCCCCCCCCAAATTACTCAATAGTGGACTACTATACAATTTTGGTAAATATAAAGAAATACGACTGTACAGCCAGACTCTGAAGATGATTTCGTTGATAAAGAAAATTTTCTTCGCTGAATTGTCTTTTATTATAAATATATTAATTGTATAAATGTAGGATCAAATATGTCATTTACAAAATATGAAAAAGAGAAGACGTTCAGTGCAGAGACTCTTTCCGACGGCGAATTCATTCACATAGCTGTACAATCGCATTTATATATATCACTATTTTTGTGTGTGTATACGTGAGGTTTGTCAAGTTCAGATAATTGGTCGGGTAATACAAGAATGATCTAATATAGAAACAAGGTTAATCAGACAGCAACTAAAGTAAGATTGAGTTAGTGTGAAGCCAAATATGTCGGCCGTACCCAGCGTTCGCTTTCCAAACGTATCGCTGATAACTTACCAACATGCTTTTACAAAGGAGGAAAACGATGCCCCCCACCCAGCTCCATCTTAGAACATCTGATAGAATCCGCACACCAAGCTACATCTCAAACAAACTTCAAAGTCGTCTACAGAGTAAGAAGTAGTCTTTCTAAAGGTATACGAATCAGACTTCTTCAAACTTCAGAAGCAATGGCAATTCACTTGCTAAATCCTGAACTCTGCATACAGAAGAAGTTCGTTCAATCCCTACACTTGCAATGGACATAATCTATCTTATTACCCGACAGGTAAATTCTACCTAATCTTTTATTCTGTCTGAGTCTTCATTAGTATTATTTTGTCTTCTCAACTGCAATATTTTGCACTTTCAACTTTCTTGTTCTCTACCCCCACCCGATTTAATTTCTACACCTCACTACCACTGTTATTGACTTGACCAATGCTCAATTTCTAGTCATTTGTGTTATGTCATCTAACTTACTAACTCAATCTTGCTTTAGTTGCTGTCTGATTAACCTTGTTTCTATATTAGATCATTCTTGTATTACCCGACCAATTATCTGAACTTGACAAACCTCACGTATACACACACAAAAATAGTGATATATATAAATGCGATTGTACAGCTATGTGAATGAATTCGCCGTCGGAAAGAGTCTCTTTACTGAACGTCTTCTTTACTTCGAAGGGGATTTATAAATTACTCAGTTCGAGATAAGGAACCGCTACAGTTTCCTTCGGAAGCTAAAAACATTCATATCATAGTATGTGTGGTATTAATAACACCATAAATGGTAATTAATAAACAGAACCCGGAAAAAGCAAAACAGCTATCCAGTATTTAACACCACTTAAACTTCCCTAGCAAGTACTACTGTTGGACGTGATTATACTTCCAACTTCTCATTTCCATCCGTAATTTTGTAATAGAGCTATTATCGTCTACATTCCTTTAGGAAAAGTGATATTGACTGTAAAAACAGAACACTGAACTGAACTAAAAACTATGGGGTCATTAATACATTGAAAATAATAGGCATTAACAAATAAGTAGGGATTGATTGAGTCAGCGGTTTAGAGGTTCAGAGCTCTCCAACCACTTAGGTGGTCCGTAGTTAGATCCCAAGCCGTTTGTAAGCTGGACAAAGAGGGAAAGTTGGGTGTGAGGTGGCTAGCAACCCCATCCCGTAAAAAGCAGAACAGCACTGATGCTGAGATTTCAGAGTTTGAGCAAGAAGTCGTATGTTCCACTGGGAACGCAAACGAATGAGTACATATATATATGATATATGTATATATATAATATTCATAACTGTGACGTCCTTTTTTATGTTGAAGACTGTATGTTGTAAGAAGACAGGAAGACGTTGGACTACTGAAAAGAAGATCTGAACATAGCGGATGATTTATGTCCAACGTCAAACAAACTCGAAGACTTGCACACGAAAATCAACCAACTGTCTAAAGAATCTGGCAGTGAAGATAGATAGGACTTGAAATGAACGTAGAAAAGACGAAAATGTTGAAGATAACCAGCCAGCAGCAACAAGAACCAGTGACTATCAACGGAAGAAGTTTGAAGGAAGTCACTTCCATTACAAGCTGGACAGATGAGGATATCAAAACCAGAAATGATCATAAAAGCTAAACAGACCTTTACCACTCTAAAATTAGCGTGAAAATCTACTACCATCAGAATAAGGTACAAGATTCAGATTTTCAACACAAATATGAGGTCAGTCGGTTATTCTATATCGGTCAAAAACTTGGCGTACACACCACGAGAAGCATTCCAACAGGTTACTGCAGAATTTTATCAACAACTGACTTCTGAAGAGCAAATGACCAGAGAGAATTAACAAGTAGGAAATCTGGGAATGAAACAACCAATAGCCGATTGTTCAACTGATATGTTATAGAAAATAAAGATGGATTGGTTGCATGCGGAGAAGACTGTCTAATGATATCTCTCGAGAGGAACTCAAATGGGAAACAACAAGCTCGGCGTCTGACAGTGACGTGAGAGAGACTGTGTGATGAGGGCATAAGAGAGATTATGGACAATCGTAAGACTAAATAAGTAGGACGGCAGAAAATAGGACAAATTGAGATGGACTATTGAAGCTTCATGTTTCACTTGAAAACCAAAGTAACAGTAATAGTTTTCACGTATTGGTTTTGTAGGGAGTTTTGTTTGATTGCATGGAGGATTTCATCATGAGCTGATATCAGTTAGAGAACCACTGGAAAACCAGCTGGGAGTACTGGACAGCTGTTTCATTGGCCTAGTTTGGGACTCCTAATCAGTACGCACCCACTGGTACGAGCTCGCCTTGTAACCAGAAGGTCCTGGGTTCGACCCCCTGAAGAGTCCCAAGCTAGGACGAAGCCGCGGCTATCCAGTACTCCCAGGTTTTCCAGTGGTTCTCTAACTGATGTCAGCTCATGATGAAATCCTCCATGCAACAATAATAGTAATAACAATAATAATAACGAAATTATATACATAGGGAGGCATTTAAACAAGGTAGATTTCTCTTTGGCATTATGACTTACCCATTAGAATAACCTGGTACAATTCTGTTCGCGTTCAACTTTGGTAAGTATTCAGTTATCAACAGGAAAGAAAATAATACAATAAAATTCATAAGAATTATTTTCTTTGAGCAGAACATTTCTAGAAAAAATATCTGGCGCCAAAAACAGATAATCAGAATTTTTTATAAATTTAGGAAAATTTAAACTGGAATTAAATGACGGAAATTCGTTGTTTATATCTGTTGTCCGACCAATTGTTTGTTAGTAAGGCAAGTTCACTTCAAGTTTTTTAAAAGAAAAAAAACATTCAAGGATCTTTTTTATGATTGGATGCCTCTGTGCTCAAATGGAATTGCGGAGGTGGGATAATAATGTAGAAGAAAGTTGTGTCTAATAATATACTGTGGAAGAAGCATCTGCAACCAATGAAATTAAGCCAAGTCAACAGATTGTAAATTACCTATCACTAAAAAGTTTAGGTTAGAGAGACTAACCCAAATAGGTGCATTTCAGTTTCTTCTCTAGGTCTAGATGACTTGCCGGGTATTATCCACGTATGCGGTTATGTATACCAGTTTCACATTAGAGTCAAAATCTGATACCTCAGCTACGGTTGCAGAACCGATGTCGTTATCCTTATAAGATAGGTATGATAAAGAAGATTTGTAGCTCAGGTGGATGATTTTGATGTGGTTGTGTTCCCTGAGTAGTTGGATGGTTAATTTGTGTAGCTTTCATCGACCTACTAGGCGACATCTTCAGCGCATACTTCAATTCGAATTGAAGTGAGCTTTTAGATTTCTCCACCAGTTTATTAATCATCTCTCCTGGTGATCACCATGAACATCGTGATTGATGGTTTTGTATGTTTTCACACCTAGGTTACTTGTATTGGAAGTGATTGTTTCTTTGACTTCAACTTTGACCCTTTGTGTTTGAGGTTTCTTTCTTATCGGTTGGTAAATTTTGTCCATCTCGATGTGTCTATTGATTGATGATTCACTGGAATACCAGACAGGCTTCTAAAACCATTCTCTAGCATTCTTGTTATTTCCTTTGTCTAATATTTGAACGTTGTCCCAGTCGAATTGATGTCCGTGGTTGCTGTATGCAGTGATATGAGTGATGGAGTGGATGTCATGTCTTTTGACGGCTCTCTTATGTTCGTGGATACCAAGACGAAGAGGAGGGGCATCCACTTTGGCCAATGTAGTGTTTTTCGCAGTTGCTACAATTTATTTTGTAGATGATTTTGCTTTTATCTTCTTTTGTTTTTGAGTCTTTTGGTTGACACAGAACTGAGTGAAGTGACTTTGATTGCTTGTGTCCGACGTTAATTCCTAGAGGTTTGAAGAGTCTTGTAGTGATTTCTGAGATATCCTTTATATATGGTAAGGTGATTACCATTAACAACATCAATTCTACTGGGACAACCAACGTTCAAATATTAGACAGAGAAAACATCAAGAATGATAGAGAATTTTTAGAAGCTTGGCATTCCAGTGAATCGCCAATCAATAGACATATCGAGATAGACAACATTTATTAACCGAAAAGAAAGAAACCTCACACAAAGGGTCAAAGTTCAAGTCAAGGAAACAATAAGTTCCATTACAAGTAGGCCTAATAAGCCCAAACAGTTTTCTGCTCTAGCCCAACACCAATAACGTTTCCATCCTTACCGCTTCTGTCGCCAACCATTGTTAACAGTTGTTGTGGAGACTTCTGTTCAGGTTGAGTTTGAGCAGCTGCTTTGCTGCCCATCATGTCCAGAGTCCTTCGGAAACAGTCTTCTTACACTGTTAGTTTGGAGGAAGCTCAGAAAATACACTAGCATCAACCAACCTTTGGTGTAAGGTTATCAACAGCGTTTGACACTGTTTCTACAGCCGACTGGATATTATTTCAGGTTTCCATAGGTGAAGTATTATTTTCAACATCAGATGCACGTTTAGCTATTTCTTTTCTGAGTAGAGACTAGTTGCTGTCATCAAGTCTACGGGTAACAGCTTCACTGCTGTCTGTTCTCCATGTCCATTCAACTGAAAGCACAAACGTACACGGCCTAGGGTGTGGTCGGAGTTTACACTTCTTTTCCAGAAAGAACAGTAGTCTTCTGCCGACCCACGCCAATGGTAACTTACCACCATATGATATATTTCCATTCATCATAAGGTGACTAGGTTATACAATGCCCGTCTTTGTGTTTGAAGTTAGCGCTGACGAGGAATAGGTGATTATCTGAGCAGAATCGCCGTTATCGTGTCGCCTGCATGGAACTCCACAGGTGTCGCTAATATGCCCCTCTGAGTGGCACAACTTTCCTACTTGAACACTGAAGTCGCCTGCTAGAACAACCACAATTGAGCATTTCACTTTCAGCAACGAACTAGACGGATTTTGATAGTACTCATGCTTTTTTAGTTCGAAATTTAGTCATTTGAAGCGTAAGCGGAGATTTTTTATGAGATAATGGAAAGACACTAATGGGGTATCACAATCTTTCTTTCTAACGGATCCTTTTAGCCGTACACCACAAGACTATTCACTGGAATCCAGTCAAGTGGAGATCTTTCCGCCATAGTACTTAATGCTATCCATACACTTGCAAGTCTTCACGAACTATCCGAAGAATCTCCTCAACTCATTTTGTTAGTCAAATATGGCCAAGTGAACAACCACGCTTAGGGCTTGTGTTTGTGTGTCTCCGAAACAGTGTACATCCACGGCTGTAGATGCCAGAGTTCTCGCAAGTGAACAAGACAAATGGTCCTGATGGTAAATCCTTCAATATAAAGAAGGTGATGTGGTTTTAAGAGATCACCAGTAGTGGTTTTCCGGCTGTGGTTATTAATGATGGTAGCAGAATGAAGACAAGGTGGAAGGCCTACCTGTGGGATGGCATTGAAAGTGATAGGAATACAAGAAGATAAAAGTAATGGGGATGAAGGTGGGTGATGAAAAGAAAAGCTTTGTGAGCGGTTACTACTTAGCGACCGTTGCTTTCTTCTCGACTTACCTAAAGCAGAAAGAAGGTTAGTGTTGCGTAATCACAGAGCCTAGAGGAAAGCCGCATGAAACCAGTGACACAGTGTGTTTAAAACGGTTTTTCTTCGTCACTCAGCATCAACAACACGATTGGGATCTTCATTACAATCGTCAAGTCAGTTCTTCTATACGGATGAGAAACTTGGTGGGCTGGTCACCAAGAATACTTCAACAGCCTGTTGCAGACCCTTATCAACAACTGTCTTCGCTGGATCTATACTGAAGATCAGATGGCCGGACCGGGCCGGGTCGGAAAGAATCACCAACAAGAAACTATGGGAACAAACAAAACAAGAACAAACCAATCGCCAGTCAACAAATATGCAGGAGAAAGTAGAGATGGACTGGACACTCGCTGAGAGGGTCGCTGGGTGACATCGCGAGTCAGGCCAAAGCTCGAGTGGAACCAGGCCGAAAGGGAGGCGGCGAGTCGGTCGTCAGTGCAAGGGTGACATGGAGGAGATCATATGAAGAGGAGTTGGTTGAAAGGGTATGGACTAACATGGATGCAGGTGAAAAGTACAGAAGAAGGAAGACTGAAGCAAGTGGAGACGTGCAGTTGAAGCCATATGCTCCACTAGGAACCCAAGGGATCAATAATAATAAGGACAGCCTCAAATTAAGTAGGGATGTATAATCCTCGGATTCGACCTCTTCTAATCCCTCTCTCCTCAGGATGAATAGGTGGTATAATTGCCTTGCTAGTTGTATGAAGGCAACACCATACTGCTGTTACATTCCTGTTCACCAGCAGTATGACTTCTCCAACAGATCCTAAGTGTAATGTACATGACTTACACTATGATAGCAACTGCTTTTTAGTCAGACCGCTATTCAGAAAGACATTCTTGGCACGGTAGAACCTGAAAAATATATTCTTTTGAGCTAGCCTAGCTAGGTCATGTGAGGAGGAGATGAAAGCATGTGGGCAGACTTGGAGCGGAGTGAAAAAGTTGGCAGAAAACAGAAGGCAATGGAGACGCGCAGCTGAAGCCCTATGTTCCTCTAGGAATTAAACGATATAGTAATAATAGCCTAGCTTATCGAGCCATTGTGAAGTGCGAGCTTGATCGGACGCCTGTCTATTTCGGTGGATAAAGCTTTGGAAAAACAGATAAGCCGGCCATGTATTGATTTTTCACTTTATGGATAACTTTAAATAAATAGTTGGTTGAGATCGAATGACGGATTTCAACAAGATGTTCAATTACTGCGCGTAACCACGGAACCTCCACAAAGGATGGATATATCAGGCTTCATAGGAGCATGTGAACTGCATTAATTGACGAAGTCACAAAAATGAGTCTCTTCGTTGAATTTAACGCTTCCTTTCTCTTGAATTTTTCAGACATAACATTTACTACATTTAGAAAACCTCAACAACTACTTACTACTACCTACATTCCTTCCTTAATTTTACAGCATTCGCCTAATTTTTCTATATGGAAACATGATTAAAGAAACTGTTTTAAGACTTAAGCAATGCAGTAGTGTGTAATTCGATATTATTTTGTTTATTTAAATAATAATTATTATTATTTGCTTTATTCCAAAACAGTACTTGTGATACAGAATGGAATTCTCAGCATTTCACTACAGTATTGCATCCAATTTGTACATTATCAATAAATAAAATTCTACATAGAATAAGGAAATCTCAGTTCATTATGACAACAACATATTGGCATGTCGGTAGCATAGTCAAAATTGAACAGTGTTTGATGGTGTTAGAAAAGTGGATGCTAGCATATTTACTGGCGTAAGCGGTAACAAAGAGGTCGAGATATACAGAGTGTGAGAGAACGAAGAAGAAGAATGTTTTAAGTAGAGTTTGTGGGAAAGATGGAAAAAAACAGCACATAACAAAAAAAACAGATAGAGAGAAAAGGAAAAGAAAGTGAGAAAACGTTGTACCTGATGTGAGTCGGAAAGACGAGATCCAATTGTTCTACTGACTATTTAATAAGTTATAAGTTTCACGCCTAAAGCTTTCTTTATCGCACAGAACACGAGCCAAGTAGGGTATGGTTGAGTTTTTGTTCTTGCTGGTGCGAGCATATACTTTTCTATATAGGCTTCTGGTTTTGCCTGAAGAGATACAAGGGGAGAGTTGTGAATGAAGAGGGCGATGTGAGTTAGATAGAATGGATTGATTTAGCCGATTTTTCAGATGAGTCCAAGTGCTTGTAGACCAGAATATTAACACAAGCTGGTTAAGTGGCACATTGCTTA